AAAAGTAAGACTTGTCTTGCTTTTCAAGTAAGACTTGTCTTGCTTTTCATTTGTCTTAAAACCAGGAGACTGGGGTTTCTGGGTTTAATACAAAAGAGATAAAGGGAGTAATACCATTAATACTTTTTAAACGACAACAACAATAATAATAAAGCACCTTAAAATTAATGTAGAAATTTATTTTAAAATCCATTCATTTTCCAACTCATTTTATACTCAGAGGATGTTTTAGGAGTAATTGAAATGTTTCCCACAGCACTTCAGAACAGCTTTGTCTTGTTTAGTAGCATTACCCAGCAGGCAGAAGGACAATGACCATGGTTCTGTAGAAGCCCGCCGTGTGTGAGTGTGTGTCACTGCACTGGAATGTCTGGCAACCATCCTCACCATATGCAGTAGTTCACGTCGGATCCATCATGCCCTGTACATTGTTCCCTCTGTCATCAATGATTTTTTTTTCCTTTTTTTACTGCAGGGCTCATTTGCAGTAATGCAAATAAAGGCTTAAGGGTCAGCCACAGCTGTCTTGTGTCATCCACTATCTAGAAAACACTGAGTGTAACTCATATCACTAAATTGGCCGTATTTCCTCTTAACTGACAGATGGACCTGAAATCGGCCCTGAACTGCAAATAATTTGTCTGAAAATGGCAAATGACCAATAAGAATTTGAGTACTTTTAGGCTCTATTTCAGCAATTCCTTTTCTTATATTTCAGCTTTGGAAAATGGGGGCCTGTTTTCCAAATTTCTCCAGCTCCTCTGATGGGAAGTCTGATGCCATCCAACAGGAATGTGAAGCCCATCCAGTCCCCCAAACTCTCCTCCACCCAGGCACATGAAAACCTTCGGGAATCCCCCTTTACTGATTAAAAAATGGAAGGGGGGGGAACTTCTCACACTATCTAGGATTTTTTATGGGTTTTTTTTTTCACACAGCCTACCACAACATATTTACACTTATTTACTGATACTAACCAGATGTTTTTCACATCTCTTTTTTCGACATAACAGTTTATATGCATGTTCCTGAAACTAGATAAGGTGCATCTAAAGTTCTGGGACATTTTTATGGGCCTCCATTGAAGTCTAATAAAACTGCTAAATTACACTGGGATGTTGCAAAGGATAAGTTGCTGTGTATCTTGGCAAGATGATTGATGGTTAAGGTTTGCAAACAGAAAGTGACGTTAGATTTAAAGCTAGGAAAAAAGCTCTGCTTTCACTCTGAGGGTTTGATGCATCTCAGAAAATATAAGATAACACAAAAATGATTGGAATCAGATATTTTCTGTTTGGCCTGTGGGCTCAAGGAGACAAATTCAGTCTTGTTTTAAAAGAAAAACGCAGATTACATATGTCTGAGTAAAATCAATACGAAAAAGTATATAAAAACAAGTTCAGTTTGTTTCTTTTATTCTTGAAATATAGGTTTTGTTGTAAAACATGCATTTGAATAATCAGATGCGACCATTTTAATTTATCTCTGGAATAAGAAAAGTATTTTGAAAACAATGATACACTTCTTTACAGTTTAATAACTGTTAGTAATGTAATGCACTGGGTGATGAGTTATTAGAAGTATAAGGTCATTGTGGATAACTCCTACAAAATAATAACAATGACATTTTCAGTGAGGACATTGAACACAACAACTGAGTCTCATTCCTGCACTTTTCTCTGTGTATCCATGGGGACGGAAACTTACAAAGGAGGCTGTTTGGACATGCTCCACACATAAATTAAGTTATACTTTTCGGGGTTGAAGTTTACTGCTTTGACAGAACTAATCTAATTTCAAGAAAAATTGCTAAAAAGTGGTTTGAAATGTTGGCCATGAAAATTAGTCAAGCGTTAAAATAAGGCCATTCCTGAAACCTCTAGGTTTAGGTAGGCGTTAAGAATTGCCTGACTCATTATTTTATAGATATTCAGATTAAGTTGTAAACAGAAACAGATCCATTAACAAGTGTATTGTTGTTTTCCCTTTGTCTCAAATCATGAAAACAAAAGAGTTGAAAAGAGAAACATAATCTTAATTACTACAATCTTTAATATTTAATCTTTTAAGGAAAAACTTGGAATGGTAGATCATGATGACTCTTCATGGGATGTTATGGACCAACAGAAAGAACAATAATAATAAAGTGGAAAATGTTTTCTAAATTAGACAAAAAATCTGAAAAGTGTGGTCTGTCTTTGTATTCATCGCATGTGACTGAATACTTTACACACCTTTCACTGTTTTATAACCATAAGTCTTTACGGTAAGGTTGGATTGAGAGCAAATTGAACACCAGCTTCCAAGTCTTATCATATCAATTATGCATGTCTAGACATTGACTGTGCTGTTCCAACACACAAACATGCATTAATTCGTGCAGTTTCATTGTACTGTGGCTCCATATTCAGGGCCGTTGTCGTGATAAAAGGCAACCCTCTGATTTGGTTAGTTTACAGTCATGCCATACTCTTCCTATTGTTGGATTAATGCTTTCAACTGCTCCATAACTTTATCCCCAACTTACTGGTGCTGTGTTGCTTGGCAAGAAAGTCTTTCTTTGGTCAAAAAAAATCTTGGATTTGAATCACAGCCCGTTTGTTTTTTTCCATGCAGCTTGTTCTCTCAGTTCATGCGTGGGTTCTCACTGGGTAATCTGGCTTCCTCCCACTGTAGTAAAAACATAACTCTTGATTGATTTCTCTAATTTGCCTTTTTGTGTGTTTTGTTGTGTTGCCCTTTGTCGGCCTGGTGACCCATCCAGGATGTGCCCCATCTCTTATGCAGTGACTGCTGCCTTTCACCCTAAAAGGACAAGCAGGTGCTTATGAGGGATGGATGCTTTCTGTCAATTTATTACACATTATTTTAAAATTACATTTGGGTTTGTAATATGTAGAGTATATTTGTATGACCTCACCTTTAAAACACCTACACAATTTAATCAAAAAGGTCCACTTTCCCATACTGCATGTGTGACCAGTATGCAGTTAAGTTAGAAAACTATCTACTTTAGTGGCAGTTAACCATTTGAGACATCAGTGTTTGATTTGTGAGTTCATAATCGGCAGTATAGACAAGTCTTTGCTTTTATCTTTTCTGCCCCCTGCTGTCTGAAAACTCTCATGACATATTCATAAAGAAAACACTTATCTTACGGTCAAACAAACTGCAGCGTCCAATTGTAAGTGAAGAAATCCAGAATTCACTATAAATTGTAATCAACTTTTTTTATTTTGTGAAATTTTTTCTCAAATAAAGTTGGCCTATGGATACACCAGTCAAGAGGTGGTCTTTTGCTTTGACATAAATCATCACTCTTATTAATATATTTTCTATGTTGTCTTGTGATTGTGAATTCCACTCACAATCACAAGAAATATTTAGGAGACCCTGCAACAGCCTGCATACTTTTTAAAAACATATTTTGAACAAATATTTTCTTACTGCAGGGCAACAACATTATAAAGACCAAAGCAAACTTATTAGACAAACAAATATTAAGAAACAGGGTGTCATGATGATTATTTTTTATGTTTATGTTGCATAATGAGTAAATCGTTTCCCTGTCAATAAGTGAAATAAGTGCAAAATAACTCGATGTTTAATAGAGTGGTTATTTTATTACATAGGGAACATGACAGTATTATTTTCCAGATACAAATAAGTATATGTCTATTTTTAGTATAGTTAGCACTTAGAAAATAATAAATAAACAAATAAATGTTATGGTATGGAAGACTGTGAAAACGTACACATGAAAACGTAGTAGCATTGTAGTAATGCTACTACAATGCTACATTCGGAACAATGCCATCCATTTCTGCCTGTTTAGTCTCTGGAAATAGCCTGTTTAGCCCAGTTTTTGTCCAGCTGTCATTTACTGACTCAGTTGTCAGGGCCAAGCTGCTGTGAGGGCAGACAAGAGCTTCATGGAGTTCAAGTGTTTTCCACTAGTTTCACTGATGTTGAAGGGCTTTACTGCTGCAGTGAAGCACAACTTTTCAACTTCCTTTCAGTGAATTTGTTGGGAAATAATAAATAGCATTTCTTAAAGAGATTATGGAAACTTTGCCAGTTTTTTCCCCCATGCTAAGTCTTTTCAATCATCTCCAGTATCCTGAAAAATGTTCTCTGTGACATTCCAATTGCAAGACTTTTTGCTTCAATGTGTCCTTGATTCTATCCATCTGGGTGATGAATCCTCAACTCTTCTGTTTGCTACATTTAGTTCATCCCAATCTTTCACAGCCAGAGCAACTAGCATCATAATAATTTTACTCATACAGTAAAATTTGTTCCACCAGCCCCACCTGTTGTCATCTCTTTCTGGCATGTATTAAACTTCAGCCGCCAAACAAAATAAATAGACTCGCGCAACTGAACAAGTATGGGAAACTCACTATTTGGTTTCAAAAAATGTAATGAAAATAAGAACTTTTGAGTGTGAAAGCTTTTATTTCTGCTGAAGTGTTAAGAAATATTATAACATCAACACTGGAACAAATTTTATGGGTGCTGTGGTGGTGCAGGGGCAAAGCACAACCCACGTATTGAGGCCTCAGTCCTCGTTGCAGGTTGGACTCCCCACCTGGCTGTCTTCACCTTCTTTCATTACCCTGTTTCCTGTTGAACTACTTTCAAATAAAGGCCTTCAAAAAATACTGATACAAATTTCAGTCAGTGATACATGTAGCAAAAATGCAAAAAATGCTAAAGTATTGAAACACATTAGTCTAACAAACAAAACTGGTATTTGTAAGAATACCAGTTGTGGTTTTTAATATGGGCCATTTGGGCAATTGCCCAGGGGGGTTTTAAGTAAGACATCTGTTGCTGGTAATGCATAGTATTATTCTTTAGAAGGGTTAAGTAGATTATGTTATTATTGTTTTTATGTCATTTGTTGCTTATGTAACAAATCGATCTTGTAAATGAGACAATGAGTTTCAATAGATTTTTCTGTAGTGAAATATTTCAAGTGAAATCCCCACACAGTATGACTTCTGAATTTCAAAAGTTTATTATGAAAATATGAAATACTAAAAGTAATCTACCACTAGGAAGAAATGTGTACATCTTGAACAAATGTTTGTTTACATACAGAAATAGTAAAAGGTTTTAAAGCTGTGTATATAATACCCTAGGTACTGCAAAACTTGGTTTACAAGTCCAGTGCATTTTCTAACATGTTACGAAAATGTTTCGCTTTTCTAAAATTGCATATTCCAGTTGTTGTTTAGACAGCAATTGAATGAGGGTCATGGTTAATTAAAATGTTCCAATTTAACACTACATGTCATTACAGAAAACAACAGCAAATTAAACAACAAACAGATAACTCTTGAGTCACTCAAATGCAGGGTTTTCTTCTTGCATAGAGTGAGTTGCATTGCTTGTTCAAGTGACCACATGCAACACACATCTTACACACACATTTTTTTCAGTTTTTTGTCTTTGAGAAGGCACATGGGAAATAAAGACTTTAGGAAAGCTGAACTGTGCAAACTCTGATTTCAAAAACTTGCAATATGATTTACTGTACAAAGAAACCAATTGAACCTGTTTGTATGTGCTGACCCGTTACCCAACAGTTCTAACATGCACATACAGTTTGTAAAAAGAACAGTAAAAGCAAATTTTCAGAATATTAAGTAGCAGCGAGGTTTCATGAATTTCATCATCTCACTTTTACACTATTCAAGATTAAGATCTATTAAATAAAAGATTAAATCTGTGCTGAGACACTTATAGCTATAGTACTGCAAAACAAACTGTGCGTTAAGACCATAAGGCTTATGGATAACAACGGATATTTCTCCATAGATGCACAAGCCAACCTTTTACAATCCAATTAAGTAAACATATTGGCTTTTAGCACTTCTGTGATACACTTAAAAGAAAACTGTGTATCAAGTATTTTTAACCATTTAAATAGACTGATGGCAAATGAACTAACTTAAATGTTTGAGGTCAGTCAAATGTCATGTACATTTTAGACCCTGAGTCAGTTTTAAAATGAACTGGTTTTGTTATTTTTATTTTGTTTTAAGTTAATATAAAACCAAGAAAGTTTTGTTTTACTAACTGAATACTTTCATTTTCAACATCATTAGAAGCAATGATGCTTCTAACGGAGCTATTTAAACAAAGCTCCATTGAGCTTCATTGAGTTGCAAAAGCTGATGATGTAGTGCCATGTTTAGAGTAGATTACTTTATCTGAGAAGAAAAATATAAACAAAACATCTGAGCTACTTCAGTTTTGCATAGATTATTAGATGATCTTAAAGTGCTAGCTGAGAGACCTGAGAAATATGCTGATGACTAAAAATTAATATGACCTGAAAAATATCTCCCTTTAAGATATTCTACAGGCAGATTACAAGGTCCTTTCATTGTATTGCCACTGTTGGTAAAGATGTAAAAAAGCCTTTAAATAAATGAATCTTTTATTCTTAAATAGCAAAATATCCCCCTAAAAATGGTAGAAAAACTAATTTTACCTCAGTTCATTTTATTACATGGGGAACAAAATCCAGCTTTAAATAGATGTTTCTAAAAAGTATATATATAATTCAAGTAGAGCAGATGTATTCCATGCTGTATGACGTTTTTCTCAGAAAGAAATTTAATACATTCATTCAAATAAAAGATTTGATACCAAGTGTAAAATAACCAACATTAATGAATGATGGCTTTATTTTAAGGTATTTTAGACACCTTTAATAGAGGTGCCAAAAGATCTAAAATGTTACGACTATATATTTATTTGCGCAATTTTCCTACATAATGGCACTTTACATCCGATAATAGAAAAAATAAGTGGGTATTATTAATATGTAATTATAATCTGTGCATATTTAAGAAAATATTTTAAACCCTGCAGGGACTCAGGCAGAGCAACCCTGTTTTCAGGATATAGCTTTTAGCCAATGCTCATAAATAACCCAGTTTCACAAGGGGAAAAAAAATCATATATACAGTATTTGATTAACTATTCAGTAGCACCAAGTGCAAATCGCTTTAAAATGAAAGCTAGCATTTTTCTAAGTAATGTGGTTCAACAAAAATGGTCCCACTCTATCTTTGGAGTTTGTGTACAAATTACAAATTGCATCCAAAATACAACAGAGAGCATTTTCATTTTCAGTTTTATACCAGACTTTTAGAACTTCTCAGTTCATTCAGGAAAGCTTCAAGGAAGCAGGATGCAGCTTTTAAAGACTTTTCTTATTCTCATTCCCTGCCGATATTATTTTCAGCAAAATAAAACCACACAATACTGTGCTTTTAAAGAGCCTACAAAGGTTGACTCTTGGAATCAACATGGATAAATACATTAAAATTGTTTCTGAATTTTAATTTGTTATATGTGACCCTGTTAATGTGGTCTGCATCTCTTCATGTTTGCATTTAAAGTACAACGTAAACTAAGAAAATACATGAAAGTTAAAAAAGGAAATCTATAAAGTAAAATAGCAAAATGTTGGTCAGAAGTTTGCATACACACAACATAAGCATGAACATCAATTTTGGACTTTTAGTTACAATTTCTGAACTTTTCCTTTCCTAAGCATAAGCTAACAGTATATAAAACTAGTCATTTTCAAAGGAAGTTTTGAGCCCAATTTCTGGCTGGCTCTATGGTTTATAAGTATTGTCAATTCATTTTTGAACACCAGGTTATTTCAGGAACTGAACGCAAGCCACCTATTTTTTATTTTTAAAAAATCAGTTCCAATGTTTGTTGAGCACTCCTGTCCCGTTGTGCGTCCCAATAGTACCGAAGTTTCAACCACCTAAACCAAACTTTAAACCTCTAATAGATTTTAAATAATGGTAAGCTTGGAAAAAAACAAACAAAACAGAAATTAAGGGCTATTGTAAGGTCTTCAAACCTAAAAATAATATACCAACTGTCAAGTGTGGTGGGGGGCAGCATCATGGTGTGGTATTGCCTCACTTCTACACATATTAGTGCATTGCACAAGCTAAATGGAAAAATAGAGACACTTCTCCCACCAAACTAATCAATTATCATCTAATGTCAACAGCTCATTATTGCTACTTTTTATATTACCGAATGTTCCAAAAGTTCAAACATTGAACTAATATTAAGCTTCTGGAATGCTTTTCCCCCTTCCATAAAAAAAAAAAAAAAAAAAAATTATAATACAGACCATCCAAAAGACATAGCAATTCTCATAAAGGGGAGGTGATGAGTGTAAGCAAACTTCTACATTCCTTCTTTCACTTCTTGCGGGAGCTGTTATACCACTTCCTAAGTGCAACTCCGCTGGTGCTCAACACAACACACAGCGCCCCCCCAAAGCTCCACCAGGTCGGCACACGCTGAAAGACAACAAACTGGAAGAAAAAGGCCAGTACCACGTCCACCGTCCTCATCAGGGCCACGGGTCCGGCGTTTTCATGTTGCAGCGCCTTAGTGAGGAAGGACTGGCCAGCGATGCCCAGAAGAGCAATAAGCATCAACATCCAGCGATCTTGACCACAGAACGGGAGATTCCACTCGCCCAGGATGGATGTGGTGATAATGCACTCAAGAAGGCCAATGACGGCGTAGTACCACACGGAGAGGTAGTAGTGGACGCTCTTCCCTATTTTTCGCAGAACGACAAAAGTGAAAGCAGCTGCAATTGCACCTATAAGAAAAAAAGTTTTTGAGTAAACGTCTGAGAGAAAATAATCCTTATGCGGTATAATGCAGCACCAGTTTGAAATAAAGAATTAGTAATACAGGTATGTTTTGTTATGGCCTAAACAATCACAAACATATTAATGGAAAGTTGATTGGAAGGGGAAAAAAAACTACAATAGAAATTGGTGCAACAGCTATAACTGCAGCTTGGATATCAATTAAGTGTCCATCTGCTTGTCAGTCCTACAAAAGGCAATATTTTCACTTCCAGAATATCTAAAAAAAAACAAGGTGAACTAACAGTGCTGAGGCTCCCATTGAGGCCAACGTGAGCTCAGAAGCCTATTTTAGTTAACATAATGGGGGTTTGTCTCTACAATGCTACACTTGTGTTTTTTTCAGTTTGAATGCAGGGTTTGCTCTCTAAAGGGAAAAAGAGAAGGAAAGAAACTGAAAACAGATCCCGAACTGAACTGTTCTAGAGTTACTTGTGGTACAAAGTAACACATTTTTATGACTCAAGAAGATAATCAACCAAAACCAGATGAGATCATTTCACTGGAACATTTGTCAAAGTGAAAACAGGTTTGCAATTTCTGTGTGGGGGTGAATCAAATACCTAAAGTCTCTTTTTATCCCATGCTGCTGCTTGTGCTGATGGTTAAAAATGTAACTAACATAAAGAATTAGATCATCTAAAAGGGAGGAAAGTCACTTTAGAGAATAGAGAATAGGTTAAAAGGTTGGATGTAACCCTAAGAGTGAACAAAAATCCACCAAATATAAATGAGTCAACCAAAGTATTAATTTCATCACCTCCGAAGGCAGCCAAAGTTCCCTTGACATGGTTAGTGTAGTTGCCTTCGATGCCACTGAGATGTTCGCCGAAGAGGAATGGCGGGCGAGCGATGAGGATGACTCCGGTGAGGGTGAACATAGTGAACACGCAATCCCAGATTGTACATCTCTCTTTGAGGAACACCCAAGCCAGGAGCGAGGTAAAGACTGGATTGCTGATGGAATTAGTTGCAAGTATTTCATGGATAAATAAGAAACAACAGTAGAACTTCGATTTTCAAGTGAAACTTTATATACTTTTTTTAATTATTTAATTCAGTTAGGATTTTAACAGCACTCACCTGAACATGATGACAGTGGCATCTGCCAGCGGCATCTGCTGAACTGCATAGTAGAGAAGGATCATTGCATTGGAGCCGAGGAAACCCCGAAGCACCAAATAAATACGTTTATCTCGGGGACCAAGGAAATCTATCCTGGAGGAGGAGATACACCAGGATGATGGATGAAAGCGTGACTGAACGGATGGCTGAGTAGATTTAGTGATACAAGAAGTAGAAAAAACACCTGGGAAAGATGGATTGATTCAAGCATGGTGGCTGGAGAAAGTGGTAACACTACGTATGGCAGAACTGACAGAGATGCATGGATATTTAGCTGATGAGATGGAAGATGATTATGAATGAAAAACCAATGTAGGGAATGAAAGGATGGACTGATTAAAAATAGATGAGGAAAAAGGGAATAGTTCTTGCAGAATTCAGATTTAGGTTGTTTTGTTTAGTTAAAAAAAAAGTAGTTTAAATTTATGCCATCTGTCGCTTTTTTAATCACTCTCCTATGATGGAGATTCTTTGCCTGGCAGAAGTATTTGTACCAAATACACGTTTATACATTAAAACAACAAACTCTTTAGCATTTCACTGGGATTTGATGTGATAAAGCAACAGAAAGAAGAGTACAACTGCAAAATATATGGAGGATTATACATGGTCTCCACAGTGTTTTACAGTTAAAAATATAAAATGTATGCTGTGTATTGTAAGTCAGCTTCACTGGATCAACACTTGGTGCTGCAATTCCGACTCCAAATCGTTTGTGGTATGCAGTATAATTTGAGACCGATAATGAGTGAGAAAAGAGAAGAAAAAACAAACAAACAAGCTTCTCTGCCATCTGTCTCCCTGTGGTCCTACAGCCATCTGCACAAATGAACTGCTACCAGTCAGAAACAAGCAATCAGAGCTAGGAGGAAGCTCTTAGCACTGCCAATCAAGCTCATGTACATGCTGCTCAATGTGATAATGGCAGAGGAACAATTTACCACTACAGAAAAGCTAACTAGCCTGAATATTCTAAACAGGTTTCAGTGCAGGGAACTAAATGTGGTTCCAATCTATGAACAAGTTATGAAGTGAGAAACATTTTTCAAGGCATTGTAATTTGCTGAACAAATGTAAGCCTTGTTTTAAAAACAAAATCAACAATGGCTTTTAAAGGTATTCATGAGCTTTTAAAAACTTAGATTTCCCTGCATTACTTCCCATTAACAGTGTAATGACATTTGTCTCGCAATGTTTGTCCGAGGCCATTTTTCTAAAAACATGCAGTAAAAGTTGATCTTCTGCTTACTTGTGGTAGATGAGTAACGGTATGACAAAAATCATCTGGAAGAAGCAGCGGATGGCACTGATCTCAACTGCATGGACTCCCTCAATGGTTTTCACCACCATGGCGATGATGGAGAAGAAAACTGTAGCCACCAAAGCATAGAACAAACCCAGACCAGGGCATTTCTTTGATTGCTCTGGGTGTAGGAAAAAGAAAAGAAAGTATTTCACAAACAAATTAGTCAAATATTAATACAAAAGAGCGGAAATATAAATGATTAGCCAAAGAGGAGGCAAAGAGTTAAAAAAAAATTACATATTGTATTCATAATATAACAGCTAACAGAGGCAGAGGAGCTCTGTCTGTTTTTCTGAACTCTTTGGGGCACCATAGATCCACCAAACAAACACTGTGGTGGGATGTTTGTACAAGCTGTCTGGAGAGCAACAAACTGATATGTTTGCAGAGATTAGATTTCAGTCTGGGAATATACAGGCATCTTTCTTTACTCTAGCCATTTTACTTAGGTGTGCTTGCTTTTCTAACTCTGTATGCTGGACATTTCCAATGTTTACCACTCTGATTTGAAAAAAAAAAAAAAAAAAAAAAACATGACATGACATGGATAAAATTCCAAAAGAATGCCATGCTGTGCAAAGTCCACAAATCTGTGGTTTTGGTGTCGTCTTGCAACTCTGCATTTGAAAGGAGAAACAAAAAAAACACAAAACACATCCTCTTAATGTCTTCTTAGATGTGGAAATATGGTTAGTATAGGCTCTGACTTTTATAAATTGGAGAAAGGTTTTTATTGCTTGAAAGGTTTATGTCAAATAAACTGAAAATCGTTTTTTTATGTTGCTTGGGTTAAAAAAAAATATTTCAGGCACATGTAGAGATTTTATCTAATTTTTGTTAAAAAATCATCTAATTTTATCTTTAAGCTGGTAAAACTAGAGTGATTTTTTCAGAGTAAATATGTTTTTTGTAGTGTAGCAAACCTATCTGTCATTAGCTATCTTTTTAGAGTCAACAGTGGGTTGTGAGACAGTCCCAATGTTTTTTTCACATCAAAGATCTAGAGTTTTTTTTTATAATCATTCTTTACAAATATTTTTCCAACTTAAAAAATATGTATACCTGTGCTTCAATATTCCACAGGTTCTCATTGTAATATTTCCAATATTCTTATACAGGTTTTGTAGTTTATCACTTTTACAAATTTTTATGTGTTTTATGTAAAATATATATATTTTTTTAAATTGGTGAGATTTATGGTATAAAAACTTAATTTTGATTACGCAATGTTGACTTTAAACACTCAGCAAGACCAGCACTCTAAACTTAGTACAACTTTTGCAACCTAAGGGATAGAACAAATAAAGTACAGTATCACTCTAAAAGAACATAGTCACTCCAAGAAAATCAAGGAAACACAAATGGGGAAAACCCTTTCATAGTTCTTACAAATGGGCTCTTTGTTATAGAAGCTGAAAAAACAACACAGTCAAATTAAGTATGATGTCTGTTAACATTCTTAATGTGTTGTTTTACAAGAGTAATAAAAGTTGTAGGACTGGAATACAGAGGTGATCTGGTTTCTGTAAAAGTGCACAGTCATTTATGGAAGCCCATTTCTGCCAATATAATTACAAACATATAACACAATGATCATTTAGCTAGTTCACAATTTTAGAATAGTACCACATAATTGAAGACGGAACACATAATATAGTTACAGTTCATTTATGTTGCACTGTCACTTTTTAAATACATAAATCACATTTTTAAAAAACAAATGATTAAAACATACACTTATTAATGTAATGATACAAGTATCACAATTTCACAATTATGACTCATACTGTTGACTTAGTATCTCATATTTACAAAAAAGGAATAACATAAACATGACACTGTTATGGCCCTGGGCCTTAATGGGCTGGGTTGCAAGTGTCTTGTTGTCTGTCTTTGTGCTCCTGCCCTTGACAGGTGCTGCTGATTTGTTAATTTGCGGCACAGGGCATTTAAACCTGGCTGTCTCCACCTTCTGAGTCGCCTTTGGTGTCCACTCTGCCACTTGACACTTGTGGTGTTTTGTTGCCAGGCCTCAGATCTCCTCCTTTTGCACATTTGAGTTTGTCTTTGTTTTTGCACCTCAACACTTCCATATGCACTCATACACCACATCCAAGCATTTGCATTACACCACTGATGCTGACATCCACAATTCATTGTTGTTTTGTTAATAAATATTCCTTTTTATGCACTTTAACCACTGCATGGTCTCCCATTTTTATTATGACCTTGAGCCAGTTGTAACAATACTATGACAATATCTCACTTTCATGAAATAATAAAGTCAAAGTTATGAGAAAATTAACTCAGTATTGACTTAGTTATAACAATTATAAGATGGCATTCTTGATAGTATCTCATACAGCAAAGTCAAACTTATGAGCTAACTATGTGATGGGCTAGCTAGCTCATAGCTACGATATATCTCATAACAATTTCATAGCTATTTTCAGTTATAACATGTTGCGATTATGACTGCAAGTCGATTCAAAACTTGCTTTTCCGGTATTCTTTTTATTGTTGTTTTTACAGTGGCAGTAATGGACTTCCATACCTCCAGCCTATTTAGTTATTATGTAAAATTAAGAAGGCTTACAGCAGCCTACCAGGCAGAAAGGTCCCTCACTTAGCAACCGAGCTCCTGTTTTATCAGCCATAACTAATGAAACTAAACAAGTCTGCTACTGAAGCGGAAAACATGTAGATAACGCAGATACGACTCTGAGTTTTGATGTGAAATATAGAAAAACGAAAACACTTAAATGGAGAAATGTAAAAAAAAAAATAAAATAAATACTGAATGACCAAAATATGTAGTTGAAAAGTGCTGCTGTTCAACATGCTCCTATTTATTGCTATTAGAATGTGACGCTGTCAGCGCTAACTAATGACGCAACCCGGCTGTATAATCGCAAAAGCTACGAAGGAGGTCATTGATTGGCTGTTTTTCTTTTCCACTCTGCCTCCTATTTTCGTCATAAACTTACCACAGCGACAGCGAAGTTTAGGACTTGAGGAGTTAACTCACCCTCAGGTGGTTTTTCCTCTCCGGGAGATGCGGTCTCCTTGCCTCTCGTGCAAAACGCCGGTAGCATACACAGCAGCGTTTCCTTCTCGCCGCCTTCCAGCACATTTTCGCTTCCCCTCGCCCGTTGCTTCTCTTCAACATCCTCTCCCTTCGGATAGTTGGTTCGCAGATGAACTGTTTCATCAGTCTGCTCGTCATCGCCACGCTCGTCTTCTTCTCGGTGGTGGTAGACCTGGTTCTGCTTGTCATGGCTAACAACTTTGTGAAACGCAACAGTCACGTTGTCCTCGGCGGTTAAAACCCGTTCCCGCGTACAGTTATTGCACTCGCCCATGGTGGTGGTTGTGGGATGTGACGGCCGAGCGGCAGCATGCCTCAGTGACGGCGCTGTCCGGCGTCTCTGTGTGTGCGTCCTGAGAGACTGGAGAGGCAAGGTTAATCACTAACCTTGGTGTCACTACTCAAGCTCTTACGCGGTGTTTGCTTTCCCCACAGGGGGGCAGAAGTGAACCCGAGACGGCCCTGCTGGGAACCTGGAGCAGTACGTAACTCTTCACGCCCGTTTTCACTGGTTGTCATGGAGATGTGTGGAGCATATTTATGTAAGATTCATGAATGCAACAGGCACCAAATCCAAATATGCAAATCAGTTTTTGACCTAAATTATAGTCCTAATTATTCTCTTTTTTTTTAAATAAAACATTTAAACAATGTAGCTGAAACTATTTTTATGTATGAATCAATATCAAGATCACTGGGTTGTCAATACCGAAATAAAAATATTCTTATTTATATGCTCATCACGAAAAGCTGCAAATGTTATTTTCTATCATGCGACTCAGTTGTTGTTTTTTTTTTGTTTGTTTGTTTTACAACGTGTCCCTAAAAACAAAAATGTGCTTAAAAATTGCAGGACATTCAAGATATACAATTTCCATATTAAAAAGAAAGCTGAGAGCCAGTCAGACAACCTGATATCAAAATTAGATAATGGATATTATCTTGTAATTTATACATTTTTTTGTTTTGTTTTTATGTTTATAATGTAAAATTTAGACTTTCATAAGACTAATTTAATTTAAGTTGAATTAATTAGAATGTATTTATATCTGATTAAATGAATTAGTCAGTAACATACTCAATTTACTAAGTAAATTTTGTCAATTTTTGTTGGTGAATCAGGTTCTGGGATTTGAGCCATTTGGTTTTGCATTTAAGTAAACAGTAATCATCATAGTTGTTTTTGATGACAGGTTTAGTCCAACTAATTGAAATCTGTATTTCTCAAGCCAGATCTCATTAAAAACACTGCACAAGCTTGCAGTGGAAGATGTTTTGATTTCTAATCCCTATACACAGCACACTGAGCCAGTTTTATGGTAGTAATTACAGCCTAATTCTTTAGCATCCACAACATGCAGAAGGAATGGTTGCTCTCAAAGCATTTATAAAAAACAAATCCAACATTTAAAAGAATTGATGGAGAAGGAAGAGGGTATGCACAATTTAAGATGTGACAGAAAAATTTAATTGAAACAAAACAAACAAAATAGTACCTTGTGTTAATAAAATAATTAAATACACAACACAATACTGTTCAGCTTAGTTTTAAGTTATAAACTGTCACAATCATATTTGGATTAATACTGTAGAAGTATTGTTAAAATTCTGCAAGTATTAATATCAATTAATAATTAATTAATATCACATAGATACATGTTGCGAAGAATTTATTAATTTATTTTTCAGCACAAGGAAAATATGGAAAAACAAAATTTGCCACACAAGACTTCATGTTAATCTTTTTCACAATATTTGATTAATGACATTGACAATCAAGCAAAAAACAACTTCTGATTTAGCAATTTAGTACTACAAGATATAAATTACGATAAGAAAAAGGAGAAGGAATTGATACACTAACACAATCTCTACTGTTATGCAGAAAAACATGTTAATGGTGACCTTTTTCTATGCAACACCTAATTCTACTGGCTATCAAAAATAACACTGATTCTGGACCTCTCTACTTACAAAAGTATTATAAATTACACACACATTGTAAACACATAATGCTATATTTGGCAAGTTGATGTCTGGGATGTTATTTGTTATTTCCTTTTAATGTCAGAGTAAGAGGAGAGTGTGAAAGCACAGGTAACATGAGCATCACAGTGGTTAGAATTTAGCTGTAAAGACAACAATGGTTTTTGTTGCTGGTGGGGAAAAAGGGCTAAGAGTTCAGTGAAAGAGAGAGGGCTCGGTTGTACAGTGGGATGCTTCTGGTGCGTCATTCATTGGGAAACCAAAAGCATGAGTTCATGTATCAGACAACCAGGAAATAGTTTTGTTTTTATCTGTTTCTCACAAGTGGATGTGTCATCACAGTTTCTAAGCGTATATGGTAAGATTAAGGAGTGCAAGTTGATCAACTGCCAAATAACTTCCACAGAATGGGAATAAGTCTTATTATTTTCCTTAAAATACAAGGGTGTGTTATTAACTTATGGCATTATGTTTTTTTTTAAAAAAACTGTCGTAATACTGGAAACTACATAACTTAAACTGTTGCAAAACTGTAAATAATATATTTAAGATTATTGGATTGTTCAAGATCTCCATTTGGACGATTGTGAGTAAGCCTGTAGGGCTCTTGGTTCACAGTGTGGGTTTTAAATGGCTTTGATTCAAAATCAGAGGAAGCCTTTAATGTAAATATAGGCTCAGTATACATACTCCAAGTGACACAAAAAGAAAAAAAAACATGACATTTTGACCCTAAAGAGTATCTCAGCTCTCCTGATGAATACTTAATTTGTGCTATTGCCTTCCTTTATGACATAAAAATTAAATAAATATTTCTGAACTATCAAAATAATACTTGATATATTATCATACAGCCAAATTACATTCTTAAATAACCACCTAATAAATTCAGAACAGATAAAGGTGAACAATTGTGTCTTACAAAGACACTTTAAACTGTAGTGTTTAATTTCATTTTGTTGTATGTCAATAGCAAGCAGTGGCATTCATTCTGGTAAATATATATTTTCCTGAACTGGCTTGATAAACTGGAGAGGAAAGCCAAAATTACAAAATCTTTAACATTTGTTGAATAAAAAAATAATTCAACATTAGAAAAATATTGTGATTTTGTAAAATTACAATAGAGCAACGACTGAAAATTATAAATAAAAGTGGTAAATATATGGCTTTTTTTGTTTCTTTGTTTTTATGAATAAAGAAAGTAATTCCCAATTAGGTGTCAGTCTGAATTTTTTTAATTTGATGCTTCTAGGATCTGGTAGGTATACCCTATGGTATGACTCAGTTAATGAATGTAAATTTGGACTCATAATTCTACATCATCATAGAAAATTGAATTTGAGCAGGAAGATTTCCCAAAGAACTGATTATCTTAATCACTCAAATCAATCATTAGATGCTCGTAAATCTGAGTTTTTCCCTTGAAGCTGGATGCAAGCAAGAACACCCGGTTGTCAACAGAGACCACAGAAAACCCCCGGGGTGCCTGAATACTGAGCTCCTGAGATGGGACAAACTGCCCCCTCTTAGCATCCCATTGGTAGACCTGTGTGAGTGAATAATCGCTGCCCAGGATGGCATACTGCCACTTGCCCACAGAGACAGGCTGGAACACCATGGAGCCACGGGAGGGAAATGTCTGGACTTCTTTGAACATGGCACCATCCCAGCGCATCACCCTGGAGTCCCCGATGTATCTTGTCAAGCATATGAACAGTTCACCTTTAAAAAGGACAAAGATCTGAGGGGCTGTTCAATTTAGACTTTAGGGAGTTTGACGCGGATGGGGAACAGAAAAGCACACAAAAACAGTTTACGTAATTCCAAATCCCAAATAATTCACTGCAACAGCAGTTCAGCAAAAAACCACAAATAGTTTAGCTGCCTCTCAGGCAAGGGCAAAATGAAAGTAATGTTTCATAGAAGTGATGTATGAGCTGTTTTTATTGTGATGGCATAAAACCACCTTGAAAATAAAAACCTTTTCTCTGCTGTAAGATGAGGAACAAAGGTATAAATTACGTCATACATGTAGTGCTATAAAAACATGGATTTCTTGAATTTTAGCCTTTTGTTTCAGATTCCCAAATACATTTTAAAAAAGGCTATAAAAGTAAATACAAACAGAAGTTTTCAGGTGATAATTTCTAAAGGGGATAAAGCTATCTACAACAAACTAGCCATTTGTTAAAAAAAAAAAAAAATTGCAGTCGTCCTACAACCCGAATTGACTAAGATTGACTAAGATGGTTTGGATGGCCATTTATTTTTTAAACCAAAAGCTTCTCTTTATGTACTCAGCTTATCTTTATTTTATAATTAAAATTTTTAATACTTCAATATAGAAACTTAAGTTCTCACCTTTTACCCGAAAGTGTTTGATGGAGAACACATCCTCCATGTCTGGTATATCTGTCCTGCGGTCAAACTTCTTCTGGCTCCTGTTCCACTGGTACACAACCGGCCTCTGGGAGCCGCTGGACAAAATCAAGTGGGGCTTGTTGGAGATTTCCAGATATTCAACATCAGTATCCCTGTACCAGGGGTGGAGTGACTGGTGGGAATAAAAACCAATGCCATTCCATTTGTACACAGTTGTAGATCCAGCCTGCAAAAAGAAGGAGATAATTGAAAGAGTTATAATTTAAGTGTCAAAATATAAATTTTAGAGACTTCAAATGGAAATATGAGGTATTGTGTGTGGGTGTTCCTGAGTGTCCCTGAGCATATGTGAGAACATATGCAAACATTTGGCAATGCAAGAATAATCAGCAGGAGCAGACACAAGCCAACACATTGCAGACAAGAACACCAGACGCATTATTCATTCACAGTGCTGAACAACACCTGTACAATGGCTATGAATCAAATACAATATCACTGATGTTTTGCCATTAAATAAAAAAAATAATAAAATTGTGTATTGGTAATCAAAAAGCAGCAAAACAGGAAAACAAATCCATCCCAACCTTAGAGCTGTCAGCAATGACAAAGAAAGATTCTCCATCAATCACAAATGTCTCGATGTCATTTGGTTTGCGAATCCTCAGGATGTCGATGTCTTGGATCTTGATGAACTTGTTGGCGGAGGAGTCATGTTTGTAAATGTGAGAGCCTCCAAACAGTTGGGCCACGATGATGTAAAGCTGGTTGTCAATCACCATGGGCTTGCAGACAACAGTGGAAGTGCCTCAATAAAAAGAAACACATGCTACACAGTTAACATTAGTTAGCTTGTTTACATTCATGTATATATAGAGGCAGAAATTAAATTTTTACGCTTAAAAACTGATTGTTGAAGAAAGACCTTGCTTCGAAATTAAACTTGCAAATTAGGCGAGTTGATACCAATGTTTTTGTGATACTGAAGAACTAAGATGAACAAATCTAAACTTATTAAAGCTCCTCTAAACAAAGCTTAGCTAAGCTAAACAACAAAGATCAATTAAACTGAATTGCTATATTTAGAATAGAAAAACTGAGAGGATTCAATCTGATAAACTGCAGTAAATCAAAGTCAAGTACT